TCCAATTCTCCTCACTCTGCAGACATCACAAGATTTGTCTGTAAAAATTAAAAAAGAACTGCAAATCCATTCGCTGGGATAATTTGTCCGATCCTGCAATATTGAGAAAAACTATCTGTCCTAATTAATTCTGCATATGATGCATAAAAGAAAAACCATGACAACAGTGATGATACACATTCAGATCAGAGGTGCAGTTGAAGTTGAAGTTAAATGTGATTGAAATGATTTTTTAATCCACTTTGTGTTGTATTATGAAACGTCTCGCACAGACTGAAACATCCTTCATAACTATTTCAAACGTCTGTGCCGTCGTCTTTACGTCTGTGTGAATTTCTTGTTGCTCAACAGAAGCAAATGTTGTGAAATATGCATCAGCAAATCTTCTGCATATTTATAAAAGTGTTGAGCTGAGCATAAAACAAACTGCAACACAAACTACAACCAGAATCGAACACAACAGCTGACACGGTGGTGAAGAGAACAGGCAGCTGTGTGGAGCAGTGTCATGATTTCTAATGAATATCATCACATGAGATGCCCCGGGAAATTTAAAATTTTTGTTTCGCCTTTAACGTTGCAAGATTTCAACATTTTCCTTGGTTCCTCAGGGAATAATTCATGTTGGGGGACTGATATTTCTGACTGTGAGGAATTTGGTGCAGATCTAAAATAACAATCTGGATCTAGTTTCCCCGGCAGACGCATCCACTCTACTGAAAACCATTCTAGTTAAGAACGTGTTCCCGTGTTGTGGCAGAGAACACTGGACTTTGAGAAAGAATAAGTCAACAGCAGGTTGAGCTTTAATAGTCTTTCCTTCAAAAAGAAAGAGCGGGTTCAGTTCGCTCTTTGTCAGCAGGCCACTTCTGAAACGTGTTTGTGTGTGGAGCTGAATCTCTGCCAGTGTTAGAAGTGCTGATGAGAAGCTTCACACTGATCTATTTGAATAACTGTTTCGGAAATCAATAGAATGAGAAAGCAGAGGGAGATGCTGCTCGTCGGCGCGGAAACGTCTCAACAGGTGATTCTTTGTAAAGGTTTCCTGTGAAACAATAAAGAAGTGTGACTGCAGCTGAAATGATCACGTGTCACTGACCTACTCACACACTCACACACACACACACACTGATCTTTATGTATAATTTAGTCACTGCAGTAACAGCGAACTAAATGCACAAGATGGGATTTGAATAAAAAACCTGGTTTGTACAAAGAGCAGATGGCGTCAGGATGGAAGCAGCATGAGTACAGAGGTGCGTGCCGTCGTCTCTGTGTTGTGGTTTTCTTCTACTGGTGCAGTGTGGCAGTGAGTGGGAAAATCATTTGCCACCTGTTGTTAAACTCAGTTTTGAAATATGATTTTCCTTTTTCTTGCTGAGAAGCTGGACACTGTTTGATTGGACTGAATGAAAGAGCCCGGAGCCTTTTTCCTTGTCTTTGTTCGAGTCACCTGCTGCGAAGAATGATCATATTTTTGGTCATTAACAAGCAGCAACCAGCTGTTTTGAAGACGTTCTAACAAATAATGCAGTGGACTCAATATGTGAATAATTTAAACGTCTTTCAGATAATGAATATTTATAAATGTCCAGAAAGTTCTTCCACCAAAGCTCCAGTGGTTCTCAGTCGTTTTGTTCAGTTTAGTCCAACATGGAAAATGTCATATTCAAGGGCACAGTGTTAATTGTCTTCTTCCTGCCAGGTCGGTGATTAAAGTCTGTGACTTTCCCTTCATGAGCCAGATCCTCTAAGCTTTCCAGCTCTGCAGCCATGGGGGTTTCAGTTTTCTGCCTGTGCAGAAAGGGATGAAAGTTAGACCTGGCAAATTGTGACGGAGCAGAAAGTGCAACAGAGCACTGCCTGTGTGCTGAGTAATCTGAACAGAAATATACAAGCGGCATTACTTACGGCAGATTCCTCATCGTCTTATGCATGATGATAAACCTGCGCTTTGTTTACAGAGTTCAAGTGAACGCAGCTGAAGAGGGTCAAGGTTTGGATTTTCACCCACTCACTGTGTTCCTTATTCTCACAGCCGCGTGTCAACACTGGGCTGTGGGAGGTTGTTCCACTCCCACATTAGAGCTTGAGTGTCAGATATTTTCTGTCCGTGGGACTCGCTGCCCAACACTTGGATCCACAGCATCTCTCGGATGCTCCAGGGGGCGTGTACGCAGGTGAAGACGGGACAGGTCTTCGGTGTCTAACAGGAAAATTCCAGATTTGTGCCACATGAGACTTTAGCTCGTTCTCATCTCTGTCATCATCTCTTGCGTCTTGTTGTTTCCACGTTAAAGTAGAAAGTTAATAGATTGTCAGGTAATTGTTTTCTATTTTTTTATTTGTACGCACTCCTGTTCAGATTATAATCCCATTATTGAGGCTCTATCAAAATGGACCTTAATTAATTCAGGTCAAAGTGGCTCCTGTGAGAAGGGTCTGAGATCAGCTCAGGTTTCCTACTCGCCATTTGTATTGTAAATTCAGTCTGTCGACATGAATAAAAAGAAATAGAATGCTGTGTATTTGTTTTCGGTTCAGTGTTGATGGCAGTAAACAGCTTGACAAGGTTTTTCTGAAGAGTCTGTGAGTGGAATCTAAAGTAAAAGTTGTAATATCATTTGACATGAGAAGAGAAGACGTGGAAACAGTTGTGGGGAACGGAGCGCTCTTGACTTCCTGCCCGAAACGTAAACTTGAATTCCGTAATCTCGTCAGGTGTCGGAGCAGAAACTACTCACTGCTTGTGCTCTCTAAGGTGCTGCTAATGTTTTTGAATTGCCCTTGTCCTCAATTATTCGTGGGTGAGGTGGTGAGTTCACTTTCAGTGGGATCAGTGAACGCGAGAGCAGCTCCATGGAGTCGGACCTCTACCTTCCCCCCTGGCGCTCATGATTTCCTACATGGTGTGTGGACACTCAGGGTGTTAAGATTCTCCACCACACACAGGGGCAGGGCCTCCCACCAGGAGAGGAGACTACAAAGCTCCGAGCTGAAATCCAGTGGATTTTTAATCTGTGCACCTCACACCCACAGGGACACGATCGGGACCTTGAGCTTGTATGTTTCTTTGTTTCTGTCCTTCCCTGTGATCCGAATCTTCAGTTTGTGATTTTCCCACAAACATTTCTGATTATGTGTGTTTAGATTTAATTGTTCTACGTGTACTTTTATTCATTTGTGTCAACATATGACTCAACAACACATTTATTCTCTTGTCATTTCGTTCCCACTGTTTATCTTTCACAATAACGTCAGGTTTATATTCTATCTACTGACTCTCTGTGTGTATGTGGCTCGTACATCTTGAGAACCATTAATCTTATCAGCTTCACTATGTGTATTGTTCAGGGCCAAAGGACGTGCAGTGTAGAATTTGGTGCAAATTTGGACATGTTGGCTTTAATTTAGAGATGCAGTTAATAAAATATATTTCCATGTGATATTTTTAAATAAATAAATTAAGCTTTTACATGCACTAGAATTAAACACTTTAAACATAAAAACATAGCTTTTGATGGAGTTATTAGTTATAACATTTATTTGCCACTGACCTGTTTTCAGTGGACACTGAGTCTCTTTAAACACAAACTGTACATTTCACACAAACTGTACATTGAGCTACTCGCTGGCAATTCTGACTAGACAAGTTTCCGAAGTTCCAGACTAGAGACACAAAAAAATAAATGTCAGGAATGTTGACGACTGACAGGTGATGGGCTGAAAACATTGTTTTTCAGCATCCATGTCCTGAACCTGAGACAGACAGTTTTTAGACGGACAGAGAGAGAGGCATGCTGGGAGGAAGGAAGACAGGTCAGGTCATTGAGCGTGCACCAGTCTGATGCAAGGAAGTTTAATGAATGACACCACGTCAAATTAGCGACCCATTAATGTCAGAGGACTGATGTCTCCAAAAAACATTTATCAAAGTGGTGCAGTAATCGATTCGTTTGCCGTTTTCTCCTAATCAATTACATAAAAGGCAGTAGGAGAGTGCATACCTCCGCTAAAGCTAATGACCCAACCCTCCATGTTATCAAAAGTGGGAAAAAAAAAATCCTGGATTGGGTAATACCCCTCCACACAAACTGAGAGACCGACCAACCCTAATGAAAACATAATCTCCATGGTGGTGGTAATTGGCGCCAACATCTCAGGCTAAGCGAGTTACTACTCTGTTATGTGCTTTACAACAATGTGAGGAAATGAAATTCAGTACGAGCACACGAGATGTTCCGCACATATTCTCCTGAGGTTGAGACCTTGAGGAGTGGGAGGCAATTCACGGCTTAATAATTGTTTTTCCACCCATGGCGGTGCTTCCACAGCTTTCAGCATCTTAATTACAGATCGTGGTATTATGATTATTCATATTGCTTCCATTTATTCATGCAGTTCCTGGAAGTTCTCTGGTACCTTCCTCTGAGAGGCTCTGCACATTGTCTAAATACCAAAAATGTAAATGTACAGCACATGCACTATTTATGCTGCTCTCTCGCTCTCCTTCTCTTTTATCCTTATATTTAAACTTTCATGGCTGAATCCAGCAGAGAAAAGAGAATAATTCATTACGTACACACGTGAAACCGCCCGTCACATTAGCAGAACAAATATACAACGTGAAGTTTGGGTTCTTCTTGTTGAAAATGTAAAGTGAGGTTCGAGGCCAGTTTGCTGTTTGAGGATGACGGTTCATGTTTGAGGGCACAAACAGACCTTTAGTTTTTTTAAAGACAGCCAGATGAAATTCCAACGTCTCAGTGTAAGTTCCATAAATGTGTAGAAATCCAGTATCAAAGGCCCGAAGGCCACGTCTGACGAAATCTCAACCAAAGATCTTTCATTAATTGAATTTCTCGGAGTGTTTTTATCTCACGAATACATGTGGCTCTCAGCGAAACCACGAGTTTTCCTCTTTTCAACAAACCACCAGCACTGATGCAAAGTTAAAATGTTTTAAACATCACATTTCCCTGTTTCTCTGTGATTGACAGAGGTGTGTCACAGTTCGCTGGTGTCGAATCTACTCCCATCATCCTTCAGGAGCTCCTCACAGCTGTCTGCCAGCCATGGACCAGGCTTCGCTAAGCTGAACCGGAGAGAGGGTGAGTGTCAACCATCACATGTAAGGAGAATATACTGCAAACAGCTTCTGCTTTCTGCTGCATCAACATGCACAAGGCGGGCAAAGCTTTTCACATGAACACAATGAAATGCCGGGAACAGTTGAGAGAAACAGAAAAGTCTGGTTAGATAAGTAAGACCACTTGCCAACAGGAATTATTCAATGAAGGCCACGGTCGAGCTTCTGTGTGTTTTGTTCTGGAATCACGTTTTTAAAACCAGGTGGATGTTATTCTCTTGTCTAACTTGAAGACGACCTCTTCCAGCTGTTCTCTCCATATTTATAGAGATATCAAAGCACACGTTCACACAATCTGTGTTTCACAAAACAACCAGAGCGCTGGAGATACTTCACCAGTGTAGTCTGGAGTTCTGCACACGTGTCTCCTCTAAACCTCAGGATGCTGAAGTGCAATACTTTGTTTAAAGAGATTATACTGACAGTCAGGCTTTTCAGTTTCTGGAAATTAACCTGGACCCTGTTTTCACCGCTGTCCATTGGCTTGGTTGTTAGAAGAATTATGCATATGTTTTTAGGACTTTCTCTATCATTGCAAGAGCGTTTTATTGAAATAGCTGTTTTTAAATTTTTCACCTTACCAGGGAATAATTCATGAATCTCAATGAAATGAAATGAAACTAAGGAAACAGTTTGGCCTTGTTGGAGGTGTGTGTTATTGCCCGTCTTCTTTACTAAAACGTCCCGGGGTTGAATCCAGCCTGAGCGTCGCCCTGTTTCTTTCCACTGACTGTCAAAAAATAGATAAAGGCAAGAAAACCAAAAGGATTAGCGTGACATCATAGTGTTTGACGGATCATCAAGGAGCCGGGTGTTACTGTTGGTAAGAAACAATCCCTCAGGCCTGGTACATCTCAGCGGAGCCTCGGTGGGATCTTTCAGCTCCTCCCCATCTCCCTCAGTATCCACATGTAAAATTTAGCAGCTTAACATCAATAAATAATCGCAGCATTCATGTCATCTTTTCTTCTCGCTGCTTTTTTGTTCTTTTATCTCTGATGTTTCCACCGGTTGTGCAGATAAAGGATGCTGCTTCTGGTCTGATGGACTCAGCTCGTGATTCGCTTCCATGCAGGACACACGGCACACAAGCTCAAACACGAATGGGGGTTTGATTCGGACCAACTCATAGACGTCTCACAGGGTTAATTATCAAATTAACAAACAAAGCAAGAGGAGAGAACCTTAGCTTTTGCTTTTTCTTATTGCAACAAAGGTGTCAAAGACAACGAGAGACAAAAACTTTTGCTCATCAGCGCTGACGTCTGCGTCAATGTGCTGTCAACAAATTACACGTTTTGCAAAATAATCGCAACTATAAGTCACAAGTAAATTTAGAAAATAAAGAACACTTGCTGATACAGTGACGGTGTGAGAAAAGAGTTGTGGTGGGAAGAGTTGCTGGTTGACAATCACACCTGAGGCAGGACTCAGAGGGGAGCACTGTGGCGTCTTTGTCTGCGACACAACAGAGGATCTGAGTGATTTTCACCACCTGGGAGGCGGCAGGAAGCGCAGCCGACAAACTGATGTTTCCTCGGTGCGTTTGATGGCGAAAGCTGTGAGCAGACACACCCGCTGTGTTCCCACACTTCAGTCAGCTCCCCGTGTGTTTACCGATCTGAGTCCGATCAGCGTAAAGAAATATCAGATGCTTCTAAAGAAAGTTCAGATGCATGTGAATGGCAAAACATGAGTCAGTTTTTCTTGTACAGCTAAAAAGAGAAAAGAGATAAAGAAATGAAACAAGACGACGGAGATGTGATTCAGATTTTGTTCTGGCTCAAAGACAAAGAAACTGATTGTGAATGTAAACACTCATTAAGTCCTCTGCCAGCAGCACTTTGTCCTTCGCCTGTTCGCAAGAAAACTGTTCATGCATCATGTGTCTTATTTCATCTCACATTTTACTTACCGGGGTTTTCCATCTTATCGTCTCTGCCAAGTAGTTTTCACCCCTTTCTGTTTGTCTGTAAATAAGATGACATAAAATCTACGGAACAGATCAGGGGGTGGATCCAGGATTTCTTTTTTTCTTTCTTCACCATCGCTGTTTTCCCAGGAAATAATAAATGGATCCTAATGATAAAAGTCAGGCACGTTTAAGGAGCTGATATCTATGAGCGTTGGACCTTTATAGAGATTTTCATTTCCTACACCAGTTTTTGTGTTCATCGTTTGTCTTCATGTCTTTATAAAATAAAGGTCATTATTATTATTTATAAACATGCAGCTGATTTGCAGGTATACACCCCCTCTGAGGTGAAACGTTCGAGCCACGAATGTTCCCTGAAACACAGTCTGACTCGTTCCTCTGCTTCATGTCGGTGCAGCTTCGAGTCTCCAGCTCATCAGGAGCCTTTTCAATAATTTCTTGTTAACAGTAAAACCTCACAGGTTGCAACGCCTTATTAATCCTCTGCCTGAGATTTGAACTGAATTAGATTTGAAGTAGACTGCTCAATAATTCTAATTTGAAAGCAGCCACACACACTTCAGGAGGAAACCACAATATAACCAAAGACTTCATTGATGTTAAAAAACTGCTTTAATTACTGAATCCCAGCTGTTCTTTGTAGAAATCAAACCCCTGCTCATTTATGCCTCTTCCAGCTGCTGCTAATGCTTCTCATCCTCTGCAGTCATTCTCTGAGGAGCCTCTTCATTCAGAGTTAATTTGCAAACAAAATGAGCAGAGACTCACGCAGCACAACACACCGCTTCATTTAAGAGACACATCAAGAGGTGTTTTCTTCTTCCACACGCTCACGCTGCAGTAAAGTCTTCAGCCCGTGCACCATTAGCCTGTGCATTAATGTACAGGAGCGTTGTCAGGAATGCAAATCTTGCTCAAATTCTTGAAGTGGAGGTCAGGGACATCGTTTATTAAAAGTGCATTACTCATTAAAAGCTTATCAAACACAGGATTAATGTTTTTCTTCCTCCATCAAAGTTGCATTTCAACAATTTATGTGTTTTTAACAGTGATGACAGTCAGTTGAGCAGATACCTACAGCACCTCATGAAACCACATTTAAACTCAGATCTGGATTTTTATCTGCACCTACATAGACACTCACAGATATTAGTTCCCTGAATATGATTTTTAAATGAAGATTCATCAATTATTCTCTGGGAAATCAATAAAAATGTTTAAAAACATAATGAAAATAAAATCCTTCCTGACCCCAAACCACATCCTTTATTTAATCGTCCAGATTAAAAAGCCATTGACTGCAAAGCCAAAGAAGTAATTAAGCACAAATACTGTCACACTCACTCTCGTGCACATTTCCAGTCTGTTAGCAATTTACTTGATGAATGAAATCCCTCCACAGAATGATATTCTCCTAGTACTTAATGAATCTTTCTGTTCTATAATGGAGTTTTAAATGCAGCGTGCCGAGAAAATTTATATCAATTTGTCCATTTTGATATTGTGATGCTGACAGAAAGTGTCCGTCATCTTCCTTCCTGACATTTTTTATCAGTGACCTGCAGTTTGTTGTGATTCTTGTCCAGCTCACATGTTTACAGGCTTGAAGCTGCGTCTCCTGCAACAGTTGATATCGAAGACTTCTCGATTTACCTGCTTCTAACTTCTGAAAATATGCAGAGGACATTGCATCGCATTTAACTGCAGGGGGGGGGGGGGGGGGGGGGGTAGATTTGGGTTCGGCTCTGGGATTAGGTTCAGAAAATAAATCAAAATAAACTGCGCGGTAGTAACATGTCTAATCTAATATCTGCCTTGAGAGGGGAGGAAACGCCTCTAATGGCTCAGAGATGATGCTCGTTGAGTCTGATTCCTCCTCCGTGGTGGAAATGTTGAAACTTCTCGCTCCTCTGAGAAGATACTGAAGAAGACACCATTTTCATATAACTTTTTTTTTAATTTTTTATTTCCTGAGGGTCGTTTCTCAGCCTCCACTGATACCAAGTGACTCGAACTGGCAGACAGCCCAGATTTAAAAGTTGGTTTTTAAACAGAGACGTATATTTTGAATTTCTAATCTATGGTTGTCAGCAAAAAAGAAATTGCTGCGACAAAATGGTGACACTGATTACAGTCTGTGGTTGTACTTATTAATTAGATATGTCCTCAGAGTCTGAAGTGAGCAATCTTCTAAAATTAAATACACGTCTCTGCTGCTGTATTATCAGCATGAATTATGTCCTGTGTTAACTTATCGCTATCATAATGATACTTCTTTGTGATGACCAATTACATCCTTCTGCAACCCGGGGTTTTCAGAGCTAAGATTGTTTCTCCCGCTGCCCGGGACTCAAGATAATAGCAGCCCTGATGAGCTGCAGGAGGAGACAGTGACTGTGGGAATAAGATGCAGAAATGCACCATGGGGGAAACGCTTGGGGATTCAAACCACAGACTGTAAATAAAGATGGACGACATGTTTCTACAATCTCCCATTGTAGATTTTGCACATTTGGAGCCAGAGTCTGCACGGTGGGGTTCGGGGGACGGAGCCTCAGTGCCAAGGTCCCACTGGTGCACACGCTCGACCATCACGAGTCAGCCTCAGCTGTCAATCAAGACATTTCACACTGTTTTAAATGCATCAAACGACGGATTCAAACCAACATTTTGTCCCAGTTCCATATGCTAACACGGAGGAGGATGGATTTATGATGGCCGTCATGTCGTCCAACTTTATAATGTGTGATTCAAACCAATAGTGAAGGACACAACAAGTTTTCTCGTAAACAAACGTTTACCCTGAGTGTAAGTCACTTGTTTCCTCGAGGGTTAACAAACATGCTTCTTCTTCTTCGTGAATATTTCAAATACTTGCATTGCTCATTCGTCCACATCTGCTCGCTCAAGTTTTCTCCCTGCATTTAGAAATCTTCGGTTAAATTTGTGACTGTGGTCAGGTTTCCGTCAGCAGGAACCAGGGCACGTGAGTCGCACTTTCCCACGTGCTCGTGATGCACACATCCGCCATCGTGCTTCACTCGGAACCTTTAACGTCAGGAATCTACGCTGTGGAGAAATGAAAGGATGTAAAGGAATGAATTCACTTTACTGTAAAAGAAAGTAAAGTAAGAGTGAAGAACACTGATCTCAGGGTCTAGAGAATGCACATGAAGCAGACGTCCACACGCAGGCGTATAAGACGGCGTCCTGGCAGCAAAATGTCCCTTTGGTATGACTCAGCACTTTTACATGCACACAAATACACACACCTTGTGGTGTTTTAATTATTTAAAGCGTCTTCATTTTATGGTCCTCTGCCCTGCTACTCAGATTATATGAAGGTCTGCAATGAACCGGCTACTTTTAATATTGTATAAGGTTTGCAGTGTCCACCAACAACGCCTCAGCCGCAGCAGCAGCAGCTCCGCTCAAGCTGTAGTATGAGCAGAACAGTCCCTGAGCTACAGATTAAACTCTTTTCACTGCTGCAAATTAAACATCAGAGAAAGACGTTGATGAAGCCTCTTCGCTCGGGGCCGAGGAACCATGTAAAAGTTAGTGTCTGATGAAAGACGTTAGATATTAAGATTTGTCTTCTTGTAAGAGACAACTGAAAACTCTGCATGGATTTGCTTCTGTGTGAAAGCTCTTTTGTTTCCTGCTCACACAGTGGTTGCATTTCAAAGGAGTCAGAGTTGAGAGTTGGTTGCCATGTTTTAATTATTATTTCCTCCTTTATTGATGAAACTGTTCCACAATTATTCGATCAATGTTCCTTCATTGTGATATTTTGGGTTTTTTTTAAAGCTCCCAACTTCGATTTTAATTGTTCATGTGTGTTTCTCTCCTCCAGGAGCTGGAGGTTGGTCTCCTCTGAGCTCAGACAGGTATCAGTGGTTGGAGGTCGACCTCGGCGGACGCACGCAAATCACTGCGGTTGCCACACAAGGTCGCTACGGAAGCTCTGATTGGCTGACGGCCTACCTGCTGATGTTCAGTGACACGGGACACAACTGGAAACAGTATCGACAGGAGGACAACATATGGGTGAGTTTATACTCACTGCTGTGTCAGGAGTTTATGTTGAAACCACTCTCACGCAATAATTTTCATTTGAAGGATAATAATAATTCTACCGATGTGCTGTTGCGTGATGTTTGAGCGTGCTGATGAAAACTGAAGCAGGATCTCAAACGATATTTATTTAATCGTCCAAACAAATGTGTTGCACGTCATTTGAGTCTTCAGTGTTCAGGAGACTCAGAAAATCATCTCAGGGAGTTTTCAGATAAACTCTGTGCAGAACAACTCAACTTTGTGTCGAGGCAAATCCTCTAAAGCTGCACGTACACTGTTTGATTTTGACCAACTTTTCAGAGGATATATTAGTTCATTTATAGTCAAACCAAATTTGAGCTTGGTTGCAAGGTTGTGCATTGTTTGTCATGCATCGCACAGGACGTAGCGATGGAGTGAGTCCAGCGTCACCTCGAACTAACTGCTAAAGACAGAAAATGTGACAAACAGGGAGGTAAGACTCTCACCGTGAGGGTAAATCTAATGTCAGCCCAAGACTTCCTCAGAGACAGAACAGAAACGAGCTTCCCACAGCTTAAAAGCTTGTTGATTTCACACTCAGCATAAATCGGGATAAATCCGCAGCATGTCTCAAAAGTCCCTGTGAAGCTCCACATATTAGTCGGCCTGGTTTATTATGGCTTTCGGGGAACGGAGTTGACTGCTGAGCAGCTTCATCAGTCACAATTCCTTCCAGACGTCTCTCCTTCCTTCAAGCTCACAGGCCAGAGTCAGTGAGCCTGAGTAATGCTTCCTCTCGTTCGCCAATTTCTCTATTTCCTCACATGTGCTACAAAGGAAGTGAATGGGCAGATGGTGTTGGGAGGATATACTCTTCCAACCAGGGAATATGTGTGTTAATGGAGGTAAAGGGATTGGAAGAACATCACAGCATTCTCTGTAGCGCAGGAACGGATTCTGCTGAGTGTCATCCTGAAATCCAGATACGGGATATTCTTGGACAACAGCTAGAAACTGAGTGTATAAGTCGAGCTGTGAAGTCTCAGCTAATACGTGTGGGATTCATTTACCTTCGCTGACTTAGTCAACGGATCCGTAGTGAAAGTGTTTCACAGGTTTTCTCAATCAGCTTCTTTAACAATTTCCTCCAAAGTGAAAATAGTTTTCATTTCATTTCAGGAGCGATTACTCTCTCTGTGCTTTCTTAACTAGCTTCTTTCTTTCTTTTTTGATTGAGCAGCTCTCAGATGTGGTGGAAGATGTGAAAAGTTGACTTCACTTCAGTGAGTGAGAGACTATATGAACACTGAGTCAGTTGCTCCAGACGTTTTTCTAGAACTTTTCATGCCATCAAGAAAATGATGAGGAGATTTAACCTCGACGCAAGTGACGGGTTCCAAACTGAAAAAAACTAATATCTCAGAGAGGACGCTGATGACGTCAACTTGGGAAGACGATGAGACATTTTCTGGAGTTTAAAAACAGCTCTAGAGTTGTTTTAAAGTATGATGGGGCTCAGACGTTTAAGGTCAAAGCGTCATATTTCTGTGCATTAACCTCGGTTTAGCAGCTTTTCTTAGATTATCAGTAATTTCAGCTAAACGTGATCAATAAATTAAAAACTTTGATCGTTGCTTTATGCAGCCTTCACACCACATCTCAATTTTCTCTCTCAATTGTAAGACCTCTGTATCATTGACTCCTGTCTCATAACTGTGCTCCGTCTGCGTGGAGTCGTTTACTCTCTGACAGATGAGCTCAATAAAAGCGATTGGTGCAACAGAGATAATAAACTACAGTAGCTTCCTCTATTTGGACGCTGCCCCTGCGTTTCCTCAAGTGTCATCACTCAAGACTGTTTGCTATTCATCAACGGTGCGTTTCAAAATCCACTGTTAATTTATGTTCATTGATTTTCCTGTAAAATGTCGGTGTGTCCATGTATTTAGAAAGTTTGACAGAAAATATCCTTATTATTTTCTATTTCTCTATTATTAGACTCTGTCGAACCTGCTCTCTTTGTAATTAAAGTCTCCCTTTGAAGGATTTAAAACGTCGACTCAGGTCATGTGATCAAGTCAGAGCGGCGCTGTTCTCTTCAGTCACAGGAATCTGACAGGCTCAGCTGTTCAAGGGCGTCAGATTAGTGTTACACAGAATTATACGCTTCAGATCATGACGTTTTACTTAAATAAGTCAAATTACATTTCAGAAGAGGCGTCACAGGCATGAAAATATGCAGATGAGAAGTCCCACTCTTATGCAACAGTACTTCTGTGCTCTTCTCTGATCTTATATTCTAACCTTTCGACTCACTCATGATCCTAATATCAAACTGAAATCAATTCCTGTAGAGAAACGCTCTTCCTCTATAGAGAGGCCAGAGGTCAGGATAGTTTACAGTGCAGCAGACAGAAGTGAGAAGTGAGAAGGTGAACGTCTTCAATCGGATTTCTATCACCAATCTTACGACAGTTTGTTTTTTGCAGAAAAGAAGCAGAACTCCAATAAAACCAAACATTTTCTCAAAGAAGAAATGCAGGTGGTTTGTAAAGAGAACTGATAAACAGGCTTAAGAGCAAATCCAATTCACAGGCAAAAAACAAAAATCCAGAAAGATTGTGCAGTGGATCACAGAGGTTAATAAATGTTATTCTCCGTGGACCGAGTGTTTACCAAAACGTCTAATACCCATAAAACTACACCTAGTGCTTCACAAATCTAATTTTCTACCTGATTGAGAAACCATTCACCGGGAACGTGGCCCTATCTCCACAATATTCCCTTCATTAAGGGGAAAATCAAACGTATCACTTCTCCGCGGCGCCGTGGGGATCGCAGTTCAGCTCCAATGAACAGATACGAGAACATGTTCACTTGTTTAGGACTGAGCTTGACTGCGATGAAGATCTACAGGGAGAAATTCCGTCTACAATGGGCAAGTGTTTTCTCCGGGTAACCTTCTGCCGCTCATGTGTTCCCACGTCTCAGGCCTTTCCAGGAAACAGTAACGCTGACAGCGTGGTTCAGCACAAGCTCCAGCATCCAGTCATCACTCGCTACGTCCGCCTCATCCCGCTGGACTGGAATCCTAACGGACGGATCGGACTCAGGCTGGAGACGTACGGATGTCCCCACAGTCAGTTCCCTTTTTTTTTTCTCATTTAAATGCATGAACTGAAAACGTAACTCTGCTATTTGTTCTTTCCATTCAGAGGTTTTTGAAGAACCACAGAAACATGATTTATGAGATGAAGCTGAGTCAACTGGTTATATTGTTTTGGATCAGACAGCGTTTATGACCTACTCTCCAGTCGGCCACCAGGGGGCAATCAAGATGATTTGGCTTCACTTCTGTGGGAGGTGTCATCTTTATTTACAGTAGTGAACGAGCAGCGAGGTTGGATTTAGATTGTGGAGGACGACTCACAGAGAGACTCTCCTCTTAAAATGTAATGCAGTAACTTTAAGATAAGATAAGATAAGATAATCCTTTATTAGTCTCACAATGGAGAAGTTTGCAGTGTTTCAGCAGCAGGAGTCAGAAATAAGTAACATTAAGTTTAAGGAATATACAAACAAAATAACGTAATTAAACAAAATTTTAATCGACTTGTTTTAATTTTACTTCCACTTGAGTAGATTTTTGGTACTTTTACCTGAGTTGAACTTTCTTTCCAACTCTGATGGAAACACAAACAACTAGGAGCTGAGGAGCAGGTCTGACGGAGGCGGCAGATCAGGGCTGACAGACGTGTGCGTCCACCTGGCTCCTGCTGGGCCGGTGAGGAATAGACAGAACAACCAGAAACAGGACGAGAAGAGAAGGAGTGAGTGTGGAGGAGGCAGGAGAGGACGCACCAGCTGTGGCCATGACCGAAAGCTCTCCACTTCCTGTGTCTGGCATTTTATCACAGGAATTAGGAAGTGAAATGTCAGTGAGGTGTGGAAAAGTTAATCAGTTGTTTGCTCCGAGACACAGTTTCCTCAGAGTCAAGCAAATTAAGCGAAATAAAAAAAACTCTGACAACTTCACTGCAAAACGATGAAAATATCTTGTGTATAAAAGAAAACTCCTGTGAAAGAATCTATTATCTTTGAGGGAGTGAGCTGTTGGTTCAGTTTGATTTAACAGCTCAGAGAAATAGGATTTAATTAGACTCGGAGGACGCTGGCAACACTTCATCGTTTCATCCAAAAGGTGAAGAAGCGAGAAGCGAGGAAAGAGAAACTTCCAGGCTTTGACTTTTGTTTAATTAAAATGTTGGGTTTGCGTGGTTCCCTGCGTCACTGTCAGCAGCGGAGGGCCACATGCACCAAACGCTCCAGATGACATTTCTAATTTGATGCTTCAGTGTGGGTGGAAGATTTGTAGCGTCGGCTCAGAAACACTCACCATTACAGTCGAGTGTGATTTTCTTTGGAGTGACAAGAAAGACGCAATTGACTTCTCACGTTCAGACACGAGGTCCTCTGCAGAATGTCTGCATTCAGTTTATCACTAATCTGTCGCTCAGGGTGATTTCATCTGTGTTTCTGATAAAACAGTGTTGTGTTGTTTGGTTTGTGTGTGTGTTTGTGCACAAAATAACCCGACAACACATGGATGGATTTTACCCAAACTTGGAGGAAATATCACTTTAGTGCGTCTCTCCAGATGATTAACTTTTGGAGCTGATTGGTCCAATTTTAATGACAACCGTCAACAAAAATATACCTTGATATCGCCCCGAATAATAGAGACAGTCCCCATATATGATTAATGACGTCATGAAGAAGTCAGACACACAGTTCCATCCTATAGACGACCTGACACTTACACTGAAACATATTTACTAATAATGTTTATTATTTATGAATGAAAATAAGGTCAAATTAAAGGGTTGTCCATTTTATTCCGGTGCTGATGAAAAAGGAGGCTTTTCATAAATCAGTCCAACTCCATCAGAAGTCTCCTGTGTTTTATTCACTTCATTCATTTTTTTTTTCTTCTGCAGAAGAATCCAGAATGTTTTCAGAATTTATTTGTTTGTTAAGTTGAAGGTGCAGAGAAATTATTTATGATAAATTCAGTGGGAGCGTTGGATCTCAGTTCTCTTTGAGCAACTCGCTGACAGCTCCTCTGGGAGGAGACAGATTAGAGAGGAGATTTAAATAGATGTGTTTTGAGAAGAGGCATGAATTGTGAGAGAAAATAACTTTGCAGATCTTCAAGGACGCCGGAGAATCTAAACTTTGTTGAATTACTTTTTCAACAACCTGTGCGACAGATTATGGTCGAATGGTTTATACTGGGCTGAATGTGTTTCTGAATACAGATGTACGCTACATATTTATCTGTACAACGTAAAAAAGGTTTGAGGATTAGGATTCAGGATTATGGTTTATACTTCTTTTGCATCTACATAAATGTATAATAAATCTTATAATAAACCAAACTGACAATAATCTTAAATATTGTCAAATGTAACCTGAGGTCACTGAAGCAGCCATCCATCTTTGTCCATAGAAACGTGAGGTCACGATGTAATAAATTAGAAAGTCTACAAATAGTTAAGGATAATTTCGACTGTTCTTAATAGGAGTTAATTGTTTGAGTGTGTGAGTGAAGTGTGTTTTTGTTATTCTCCAGACTCTGACGTGGTGAGCTTCGATGGCCACAGCAGCCTTCTCTACAAGCTGAGTCCCGGGCCGAGGCGGGCGACCAGGGAAAGCATCTCTCTGAAATTCAAAACCCTGAGGAATTCTGGGACGCTGCTTCATGCGGCGGGTCGGAGCGAGCACAGCCTCACCCTGGAGTTAGAGAAGGGAAAGCTTCTGCTCGTTCTGCGGAAAGGTAAAAGTCTGAAATACTTACGTCGTTCCGCTGCTGTGTTGGTTTATGAACTTAATTCATTTTGAAATGAAAGTTTGTTCTTGATGAAACTTTCCAGGTGAAGCTTCGACACCTGTTCTGCAAACTGACTCTTAAATGTTTCAGTCTCTAATGAGATGGAGGAGATTTTGTCCCGGAGCCAAACATTTAGTGCTTGTGATAACACGCTTTTCATTATGTGGTTGTTTGCTTCACACCATCGTTCAATAAGTTGTGAGGCTGCCAGACCACCGTGGCTGTTTTACTGCTGTCACAGCTTTTAGTGGTCGACAACGCTGACCACCAGCTTCTGCTCTCATGTCGGTGCCATCTACTTCCTGTACGTCCTGTATACGCTTTGGTGCTGTCGGGTTTTCCACCACTTTTGCACATTCAGTTCTGATAGGTCTCTGCCTTCAGGGTTATCGCAGATTGAAATTTCCAACACAAGGTTGGTGCTACATACAGAAGCTGTGAGGTTTAAAACATTTCGGTATGTAGCAGTCTCGGTATGGGAAGAGCAATTTCAGAATTTGTTGTGTTAGAAGCTTGAGGAAAACGCTGATTCCTCTGCATGATGAAGCACAACACAACACTTCTATTGAGGAAAAACAAGATTTTGTAAACATTTTTTAAAGAACCTCATTAACTCCAAAGTTTTTTTTTTACAAATTTAGACTTGAATCTTACCCAAACATTTAAGAATCCCATATAAAATATGAATTTCACTGATAATGTGAAGAAAATAACAAAGATAGTTGAAACATGCATTTATACACATATAGATAGACCTACATATAATTAATAAACCACAGCGTAGCTTCCCATGAGCAGTTTATTACTCCAGTGCATTGCTCTATGGCACTAAGGATGCAAAGAGTTTTGTTTTGTTTTTTTATGTTTATACTCTTTCTAAAATACGATGCCTGACATAACCACCATTAATCAGTGGTTTGTTTGTTGCATTGGTCAGATTCAGCTGAATTAAACACAAAACAATGTAACTCTGTTTTCCAGGAGTCATTCAAACCATTGAAATGAATCCCCTGGCTTATTAAAATGAATCCACTCGCTGTATCCTGTTTTGTCGTTGCCATACACTCATCACAGTGTAAGTGTATAGGGCTGGATTATTCTATGTGAAATGGAAACAGCACGGATCAATGTTCGCCACTCTGCCTTCTGGAGGAGCTTTTGTTAGGGGAAAATAATGAATGTGTTAGAAAGGCAGACGGCAAAAAGCTTAAGGTTTGTTTTTTTTCTCAATAAATCCAGATATAAATTACACAGAATAACAGGTGAAGTCCTCACACTGCAGTGTCCTGGAGTACAGAGTTACCTTCATGCACATGTTTCACTCTGTTTAAGCTCATTTCAAGATTAAAATCATAAAAACATATCTTTGCACTGAGCAGGACACTGTGAGTATGTGAACCAGGTCTGTGAACTGGTGTTGAGGTCACGTCTTCCTAACGTGCAGAGTAAACGTGATCTCCCGAGTTTACCCATGAACTGAACTCATGACCTGAAGGAAAGGTCTCACATTCATCCCACAGGGAGCAGCTGAGAGCCGCTGCCCGCGAAGCTCAGAGTTTCATGTAGAAGCTGCTGAAATAGAGACGATTGATTTGTGGTCGTATTAAAAGTTCTCAGGCTAAAGGTTCAATTCCTGCAGGAGACTTCATCATCATCATCGTCGGACTGTGAGACAGAGCAGCAGAACCTAGAAAAACACTGGTGTGGTCTTGCACTATTTTATTTTTCTGTATTTTTAAAATATAAGTAAACGTTCCTCTCGAAAAATACTTGAATTACTCCCAGGCTGGATTTGTTTTCCGTGTCGACTGTAGCTGGGAAAACAGATTCTGTTTGGACGATGACTCATTCTGGATACAGTCTGTCGGCTCAGGTGTCACAGTGAATGGTGGGCTCCCTGCTGTGTTCAATACTGCAGTATTGACTTACCCTGTTATTCTACTCTATCCATAGTGATTTATGGGGAGGTCTCTCGGTAGTGCTCCGTCTGACAGCGTTGTAAATAAACAGCTTAGCCTTCATCCAAGAGGCAGCACACTCGTGCCATGCAGAGCGAGCTGAGCTTGATTTTACAGCCCTCCACTGACTCATTGCAGCCACACAGACCCGTGCGTTTAACATGCGCCCTGTGCAAGGTTCTTATTTGACCACTCGTGTGCAGTGACACACACACACACACACACTATCTACTAATTACAGAAATCTCTTTTTCTTACTGTTTGAACGCGACGTCACGATTCTGAGGACTGAGTCCAGCAGCAGGTCTTCACGTGCAGCAGCTCCATCACTGGAGGTCACTTCTCCAGTTTCAGACAGAAAAGCTGCAGCCAGAACCACCAGAGACAAAAAAGGTCTCTAACTAGAAGGACACATGGAGACTACATACCTCCACCAATGCTGATCACCACCTTGCATTTACATATATTGTCATCATGCACGTGTATCTTAAAGGAATTCTTCTATCAGTGAATGGTTTCTTTCTTGGACGATGACTCACCCTTCCACCAAGTTTGAAGAAAATCAGTTGAGTTGTTTTTGCGTAATCCTGCTGATAAACTGACAAATGAAGTGACTAGGCATTTTAAAAGTCTCCAAACACTCTCAGAGATGTCCTCCGGTTCAGAGGTTGCACGTTGCACTTGTGTTGACTGGTTGCGTGCGCCGCTTCAATTATCCAAGCCGAGCGGAATATAATGAAAACGCTGAAACATTACAGCAGTCTGTCATCTGATAAGAGCTGTCAATGTCTTCCAACTAAATTAGATTCAAACTTGCTGTGAGGAGCTGTAATGCAGAGGCAGACAGATGATGATTAGGTGATATTGCCTCGGGGAGCTTTCTGGAATGATCCGACACAGGAGCTCACACTGAACAAAGTGAAATGGATGTGAGGAACTTCTCGCGGCTTCTGGAGTCACAAAACATCGGATGTCTGGAAAAGTTCCTGGAGAGAGAAGCTGCATGAATCCTGAGGATACTCACTGAAAATGAACATCGGTAAAAACATTAAGGATTGTGGAATTGCAAAGGGAAAGAGTTTTAGAACAACTTTAGACGTGAAGAGCATTTACGGAACAAACATTATCATCGTGGGTAATGGATCTACCGAGCCGGTAAATGTGATTGGAATTCAAACACAAACATGCACCTCAAGAGGTTCATCTTTCTGCATATCTGTAGGGTAGAACGTGCTCTGCACCTCATTACAACTAAATCGTTTTTATATCTTTCCTTTTAAACCTTTTGCACTTTGCAGGTAAAACAAACAAAACTTCTGTTTCAACTCAAACACTTTGAATGTTTCCCAAACGTCCAACAAAAATAAAGACGGACGTATCTTCACTTCCTGCCAATATCCGCAAATGAATCCACAACATGACGGATATCGATGTTGCATTTTGTGCAGATGAGGTCATATCGACCCAGAATCGGCCTCAGCATCAAATTCAGAAATTAAAACCAAATGTACCGAAAACTTTAACACTTGAACCCAGTGTGATAACAACTACCTAAAATTCACACTGTACAGCATCCATCTTTATTTACAGTCCATGATTTATATTCACTTAAACATTTGACAAGTTAATTTCTTAAACCGGCTGTTTCCAAATTACCATTGTTCTTCTACTTTGTTAGCAAATATTTATGCTCCATCTTTCTACCAGACGTCATTATATTACCCAGATTATAGAAACATAGAGAACACAAAATTATATTAGAATACAAGAAATACTGTAGCATAAGACATTTTTTCTCTTCACTTAACTTGTACCAGAAACTGAAACAGCAAAAATCGTGTGTCCAAACCCTCAGGCTGCATTTTTAATCTGGTGCATCTCCAGTAACTGATATTCTGCAGCTGAAGTCAGGATAGACTTATTCACCATTTGTGGAATAAATATTGATATAAGTCAAGTGTCACTGTTCAACTTTATCAGAACTTATTCATAAGAAGTAATAATAATAAGCTGATGTGCGAAAAATGTTTAGACTCAAAGTTTTGGGACTTTGCAATGTTTTGTCATATTTGATTCTGAATTGTTTTTCTTTCAAAACTTATTTGCAGCTTTAGATCGAACCTGAACCTAATTTCTAGGAAACAGAGTTACGATGAAATATAAGTCTTATGACTAAAATTTAGAGAGTCACGTGTATTTAAAATACATTTGACTTTGTCTTCGTCTCTGTCTCTCTCTGTGGTACATCAGTGTGCTGATCAATGATGATTGACCACGCTTCACTCCCTCCTCCTCTCCGTCCGTCTGTCTCCTTCCCCGCCTCTGGTTTCTCCCTCTGCGATGCCAAGTGTCTGTCTGCTAGATCAATGATGATTGATGAATTAACACGTGTGACTCGGTCTCTGCTCGTCTCCCTCTCTCATTCTCTCTCATTCTTTCTTTTCCCATGCAGTCAACGTTGTCTCCTTTTAAACAAATTCAGATTCATATTTAATGACTCGGGACATTTAGCTCCATCGTCACAATAACTTAAAACCCTGCTCTCGGCCAAAACTTCAAGAGAACCAGCAGTATTTGGTTATGCCTGTCCACCTTCTCTGCCTGTGACTCGGTTGGCAGTTGTTGATTTGGTTCTGAGATGTGATCCCTGCTAGAAACTTTAAAAAGTATTGAGTTCAGAAACTTTGAAAACACCCGTTGCTGCCAGGTCATGAAGACAAAACTGGGATGTGGTGCTCACTTTGTTCCCACAGAGCGAAGGAGGTGGAGAGGAAAATGCCTCCAGTGCTGCGGAAATTTAAAGATGTCAGAGCAGAATTCAGGAAACTTAAATACGTGTCTGTAGTCGTCCAGCCATGACAAGCAGAAGAAAGAAAACATTTGACATGCAGACAGTGGGGGTCATCGTGAACGAGTGAGCTGAAACATCTGTGTCGTCTCTCAAGGACTTTTTAAAATTATATTTAATATTATATATACATCAACATATACGATTTGCCAACAGAATTAGAGGTCTGGTGCTTCGAGGGAGAAAGGAGTAGAATCCCAGGCCTGAATAATTGTCCCAGTCTGCCTCTGTCAAGTTATCAACTTTCTCCTTCTTCATCTCCTCGTCCTCTCTTCTGTCTGCTGTCACCACTTCTTCATCTCCTCGTCCTCCTCTGTTTTTCCAGGCAGGAGTTCGTCTGCAGACGGTCGGCACCGTGTGTCTCTGGGCAGCCTGTTAGACGATCAGCACTGGCACCAGGTCACAGTGGAGCAGCACAGTAATCACCTCAACTTCACGGTGGACAAGAGTACAGAGTGGCTGCAGATTCCTCCGAGACTCACCCACTGGGACCATGATCAGGTGTGTGCACTTGTACTTCTATCTTTATGAGGACCACTTTGACTTTTGGGCCTCAGTCTAACAGAATAACGACATTTTGCCGATAATCACATTCTGCTCCAAAATCTATTGTAAATAAATAAATAATGTGTTCCCTCTAAGATAGTAATACGTGTGTGCTGCTCACAAACATTTGAATTACCACCTGTTCTCCTCCTCATGTGTTTTCCCGTGTGCTCGTGTCCCCCTCTGTACAGATGAGCGTGGGCGCCGACCACGACCTCGGCTCTCGCAGGTCATTCGGGTCGGACAGAAATTTCTGCGGTTGTTTGGAAAACTTAATTTACAACGACGTGAACCTGGTGGAGCTCGCTCAGCAGAGAGACCAGCTGGTCGCTGTGAAGGTAAACCGACTCACAGTGTGCGACTGAGAAGCTTGTACATGTTCGTATGTCACCACATGTGGTCACTGCATGCTCCATGTCTGCAGCTGGATCCAGTGCAAACACAGTAAAATAACATAAAATGCAAGTGAAGTGAACTTATTAACTTATCTCTGTCAGTGTGTGCGTGTGTCAAGCTAATGCACTTGAGATACAGAAGTGTTTAACTTCTCCCTTCTTCAGCCTGCGTCACTTTAACGACCCCACAAAGAGCTTTTAGATTTGATCATGTGTCTGTGTGCTGCATACTCCAGTGAAAACAGAAACTCACTATCGCCCAGAGGGAACCTGGGATGTAACAAATCACTGTTGCTGCCCCGGCTCTGGATTTACTGTAATTACCTCTCCTCCAAACTATGAGCCCTCACAGAGACGGCCAACTGCTCCCACTTATTTAATTGCCCACCTCATTTCTCGCTCTCTCTTCCTCTCCTTCTCCATCTCTCCCTCTTCACACTTCCTCCGTGACCTTAGAAAGCTGTTGGGTGACGTTGGTGCTTATTCTAAGCCCGGCTATTATCATTATGGTAATACTCTCTTTAAGGAGACTTGCTGATTGGATCTCAGCGCGTGAGGCCGCTGCCACGCACCCTCGAAAATTAATTTATATTCATGCATTATGTTGTTTTCCCTCTTTTGCTAAAATAATCTCTCTCTCTCCATACCCMCCCCCCCCCCCCTCTCGATCTATCCCAGGGCAACGTGACCTTTTCCTGTGCTGAACCCATTTTCGTGGCCGTGACGTTCACTGGCCCCCAGAGCTTCCTCCGGTTGCCAAGAGTTGCTGAGCCGTCATCGACGGGGATGACCCTGGGGCTTCAGTTTAGGACGTGGAACAAGGCGGGGCTGCTGCTGACCTTTGAACTCCCGAACCATGGTGGTGCAGTCTGGCTGTACCTAAGCAAAGCCGTGCTCCAACTCCAGATCCACAAGCCTGGCAGGGCGCCGCTGGAGCTCAACGCAGGTCAGTCCGACCACGAGAGGGGACACTGAACTTTTTTGCGTATCTGCACACACTGCTGTTTCTGCCACTTTCACTCCAGGTCACTTTAAAGTCTACATATTATCCTGGAGTCTTGATTCTTTATATACTGTATATTTGTATATATTTACCTTTTGTACAGTTAAATCTCAACCTAGTCGATATTTGCTTTCATAAATGAGAAGTATAGACGCAGTAACTTGTGCTTAAAGAAGGAATATCTTGATTTTAATAAAGCATTGGGTCTTCTCACGACTCTTTGTTTTGGATAGATGCAGACAAAGGATGTTTAGCAACTGACTGAGTTAAAAGATTCAGTTCAAATCAAGATGGTGAAAGTTGTGTTTATCTGTGTGCGTCTTCAGGTTCAGCTCTGAATGACGGTCAGTGGCACTCTGTGGTCCTGACCTCCAGACGAGGACATCTGACCATCACAGTGGACGGAGACGAAGGAGGCGCCGCTCAGGCCAGTCCCTCATTTGTGGTGACTGCAACTGAACTCTTCTTCGGGGGTAAGAAAAGAGATGAATAACTGAACACAGACAGAGGTGGAGTGTTTGAAAGTTTTTTAGGTGGAGGCGATGTCACGGTTTCCTTTGGGTTGTTTCCTCTCCTCTCGTGCGCAGGTTGTCCCTCTGAAGGAAGCGACCAGGAGTGTATGAACCCCTTCAAAGTTTTCATGGGATGCATGCGGCTGCTGACTGTGGACAGCCAACAGCTGGATTTGATCAAGGTGCAGCAGAGGCTGATGGGAAACTACAGTCACCTGCAGGTCGACATGTGTGGCATCATCGACAGGTCAGACCTCAAAGCACCATTTGTTTTTTTCTAAAGATTCCGTTACCTGGACTTTTACAAAAAAAGTACAACTCATATCATTTTATCAGCTGGAGGCTTCTCACCAGATATGGACGTAATGATTGATTCATGTTGTCCATGGCCCTGCTCAGGTTAAACCCTTGAAAAACACACAGAGAATGAACGACATCGAACTTCTTTTGTTATTCAGTTCGAAAGTCATAACTAAAGAAGAACACGAAGAGATAAATCTTGATATACACAGTTCTGAACTTGACAAGTGTGTCAGTTATCTTTCTTTCTTTGAGGCGGTCTTTGTTGAATTTACTGCTTCGTTTAAATGTGAATATCCAACGTTTGGATTTCTTCAAATACTTGATGAGATTACTAGAATCACTGATGCTGCTGCCTCTCGAAAACTGAAGTCTTGCATTCATTCAGCTAATGCTCCATTACTGAAAATCACTTCTTCTTCGCCGCTCTCATTTCCTGTTTCATCTGGGTGGAACCAATATAGTTTATAGATGTGTTATCGGATTGGATTCATGTACTCGTCATTTCTGATGCTGGTGTTTTTATTGGAGCATCTTCTATCGGGGAAACGGACCTGAGCAAATGCTAAATGTTTTTTTTTCCTTCCTTAAATTTATCCAGGAAAAGTTTAGTGCAGAATATTCAATGTGCTTAACGATTTGTTAGAGGGCATTGTCAGAAAGGAGCAAAGCAATGTTGTTAAAATGTTTGATTTAATTGTCACTTGTTCTTTGTAAATCCTGTTAATCTCCCCCTGGAGGCTCCATGACTGGTTTCCTGTGAAATTGGGTTGCATATGGATTATTAGACAGCAGAGGATTGGAGACAGAGGGAATTATGGGAACAGTTTTCAGTGTTTCACAAAATGTTTTTCTCACCAGGAAAACAGTCCTGGTGTTATTATTGTTTTTCATCATTTAGCATCATATGAGGTGGAGCTTCTCTCACTGGGCTGTAATGTGGTTTAGTTTTCTTTTGTCTCTTGAAAATGTGATTTATTTGTGTGAAGCTCCTGTATGGATGGTTCGGGAGAGGTTTCACTATCCAGGACACACACACACACACACACACACACATACATTTAGCGTTATTGTTCAACAGAGACCAGAAAGAAATGAGCGCAGAGAAAATATAATTTTTCTATTCTGCCAAATCGTCATTCTGCCTCCAGTGTTTTTATCTGCTTGGCCCTGACTGTTGCCTTGTCTCAGTGTGTGAGTTTGGAGAAATTATAGGATATTGGCATGTTTGCAAAAGATCTCTGTTCGGCCGGTTTGCTTTCTGCTTCTGCTTCTGCTACAAATAGTTGTTGCCGGATGATCGTCATCTTTGCATAGTTTTTATTTGCTGCACTTCAACAGAGACAGAAAAACCTCTAATAAATTCAATCAGTGTTAAAGTTTGTAATTGCTTGTTTATTCTATTATCAATACCACTCTATACCCACTTTACAGTCACTAATTAGCCTGGATTGAGATGTGCAGATGTGTGTGTCTTCCTCAAACATGGGTCCTCGACCAGAGGCCTGGGAGTATTAGGGGGGCTTTGCAGTATCTTAGCTAGTACACTGATAACTGTGCAGACTCTGGTTCCAAATCTATAAAATGGTGGCGTTCGTATTGGGGATGTTTTTGTTTCAGTTCTCCACAGTGGGAGGAAGCGGAGGCGTTCATCCTCATGTACACAGTCTGTGGTGTAAACGTACATGCATGAGACTAAAACTCTTCTGAACCTACATAGATATTAATTAAAACATGTATCTCCACCATTGGACAGAATCAATATGGTCACCACATTTAATCAAATAGCAGAAAGAAAACCATGACCTGTGATGTGCGTCGCTGTGATGCAGAAAATTCAAGCGTGTCCACTCTGTCCGCTGCTTTGTGTGCGAGCTGTAACACATCGTTCTCACAACATGACCTTCCACCTTTGTTCCGAATGATTAGAGCCCATTGCTAAGTAGTAAACACGTACTCCACCAGGCAGCGTTTCTTTCAGTCAGATATCGAGTTGGAAAATTGGATTTTCACCTCCAACCTACAGTATATAGAAATATGTGCTGCATGACCGCTCATGTGAATCCCTCCATGAACCCATTGCCCTTTTGCTTGAAAATTGAATATTTTCCTGGAATGGACAATGGACCATCAGAATTTATATTGAATATATATATATATTTAAAAGCAGTGGAGTTAATAGAAAAGTTCTGCACCTGCCTTCATTCGAACTTATTTTCAGAAAGAAATTGGTGATAAAAACCAAAGTTTCACGTCTGACAAGTCTGCTGAGTCAGGCCTTTTCCAGCAGTGAATCTCCCCCCCCCCCCCCCCCCCCC